TTATTCTATATATATCCCCTTAATCTATCCCCTTATTCTATATATATATCCCCTTAATCTAACCCGCTATTCTAACTCCTTAATCTATCCCCTTAATCTAACCCGCTATTCTAACTCCTTAATCTATCGCCTTATTCTATATATATCCCCTTAATCTATCGCCTTATTCTATATATATCTCCTTAATCTATCCCCTTAATCTAACCCCTTATTCTAACTCCTTAATCTATCCCCTTAATCTAACCCGCTATTCGAACTCCTTAATCTATCGCCTTATTCTATATATATCCCTTAATCTATCGCCTTATTCTATATATATCTCCTTAATCTATCCCCTTAATCTAACCCCTTATTCTAACTCCTTAATCTATCCCCTTAATCTAGCCCCTTATTCTAACTCCTTAACCTATATATATTCCCCTCTTCTATCCCTTCTTCTAACCCCTTAATCTATATGTATCCGCTTAATCTAACCCCTAAATCTATATATCCCCTTTATCTAACCCATTATTCTAGCCCCTTAATCTATCCCCTTATTCTAACTACTTAATCTATATATATTCACTTAATCTAACTCCTTATTCTAACCCCTTAATCTATATATATCCCCTTATTCTGTTCCCTTAATCTATCCCCTGATTCTGTCCCTTTAATCTAACCCATTATTCTATCGCTTAATCTAACCTTTATTCTATCTGCTTATTCTATCACCTTAATCTATCCATATAACCTAACCTTTTAATCTACACCTTATTCTAACCCCTTAATTTATCTCCTTATTCTATCCCTTATTCTATTCCTAAATCTAGCCGCTGATTCTATTCTCTCAATCTAACGCTTTATTCTAATCCATGATCTATGCCCTTAATGTATATATTTCCTCTTATTCTTAGTCCTTATTTTATTCCGCCATTCTAACGCGTGATCTAAGTGCTTAAAGTATATCTGTCCGCTTATTTTATGGAATCCATATATCCTCTTTATCTGGCTCCTTATTCTATATCTAATGCCTTATTGTATCCCGTTATTATAATCCCTATCGCATCGTGTTGGTGTAAGTCCGTAATCTATATGTGTTCCGTGATCCTAACCTCGTAATGTGATTCCTGTATGTCGATTTGAGTTTGATGTTTGTGAAGATGTGGCCTTAATATAAATATAGAGGAATAGATCCTTAATGTAAAGTCATGAATTTCGTCAAAGTTCTTGAGTGTTCATGTCTGTTAAAGTGAATATGATGGAACTGGTGATAGTGTCCTAGTGTAGATGAATGTTATTTCCAGAGTCATATTGTCCGCTGTAGTCGTAAAATTTTGAAATCTGTCTAGGAGTTGGGCATGATGTCAATCAAAGTATTGAATCTTTTGAAAGATGGAGAGACAAACTTAATGAGATCCCTCCCGTGTTCTCGTTGTTCAAATTCACGGTCATGAAGTCAGCTAAATTGGTGGAAGTTGGTCGTATCCTAAATAGAATGTCATTTATTTAGTCTGTGTCCTGGAGTCTTCATGTCTCGTAAAACAGGCGTCCTTCTGTCAGTCTTATTTCTATAGTCTTTATGCCTCCGTGCGAAACACTGAGTAAAAAAGTTAGTCTTAGTCCTGCTTTCTTTCTGTATCTAAAAGTCATAATCACAAAGTCAATATTAGTCATCGAGCCTGTATGTTTTTTTGAGTAAGAGTCGTAAAGTCAGTCTTGTTTGTTAGAGTCTTGACATCTCTCAAAGCTATCGTCATGAAGTCAGTTAAAGATTTCAAGTTTTCATGTCTCTCAAAGCCATCGCCATGAAGTTAGTGAATGTCATGAGATCTTATGTCCTGTCGAACTCAAAGTCACCAACTCAAGTGGATTGCTATAGGGGTGAAAGCTTTTTCTGTATTGAAGTCAAAGTCTTTAATGCAGTCTGACTTCTGGTTTCCGTATTGCTGTCGAAGGCAGAATGTTGGTGTCTTCAGTTTTGTTACCCGTGAACTGCAATTCTCGTGTTCGCTTTTTTTCCGGGTTATTTACCGGATCAGTTGGAAAAAACTGTATTTTGCGGTGTGAAGAAATACATGTCTACCGTTTTTCTCAGAACGCTTCCAAGATATTTTATGTTGTTTATGTCTTCAAACAGACAATTCATGAAAACGTCAACTTGTTTTTGAAACGATAGGTCATGGCATTCTTTCTAATAGGTGAACGCAGAGATTCTTGTAACTTGTGCTAATAAGTTTGAAGAGAGCTAAAAGGAAAGGTGTATGGGAATACATATAGTTTCTCACTGTCCAGAATTTATTTTTTCCTTTAGCTAAACAACAATTACATTTGGCAGACCTTTGATTCTTTCCGACTATTTTCGAACTGAAAATGCTGATTTTATTGAGATGATGGTATTCAGAAATGAGTTTTTGTACATATGATTTGATTTAGATAGTAAATATGTTTTTTTTAAAGTGCTTAAATCGGTATGAAAGTGAGAAACTATCACATCTGAGACATCTTTTCTTTTGGCTTACTCCAAATCTATTAGCACAAATCAAGAGGATGTTTTATTTTGACTATCGTACAGAATATCACGACGTATAATTTGAAAAAATTTAAGATTTTATCATGTACGTTTGTGGAGATATATGGAGAATAAATTATGTTGCAAACACTCCGAGACATCTAGTATTTGCGTTACATTCTCTCGCAAATGAAGATTTCTTCATGTTTTCCATCACTCCTCTCCTATGAATCTTCTGTATAAATCGGTTGAAAGGATCCTCAAAAGGCTCAAACTTGCACTATATTCTGTTGCAATCTGTTGATAAGGATGATAATGCCTGTACTTGGATGAAACACAAATGAATGAAGAAGGAGAAAGACGGCATTCTTTGATTAATCTGCCAATTTAATGCAGTTCTTCGATCCCCACAGTGAAATTTGTTGCAATCCATTCAAGTTTTTAGGTAATGAAAGATGTAATAACAAGTCGAAATTTTCTCAGGAACAATGTATTATCTTTTGAATTCTCAGAGTTCTAATGCTTTTACACAACAATTCCACATAAACTGAATAAGGTTTATATCATGCATGTCGTGCAATTCCTAGACTTCTAAAATAGCGATCGTAACATTAGAATCAAAAAGAAGACATCCGAATGCTATTTCTATGTTTCAGAATACTGGATAGGTTTCCGAAGCTTTTTTCGGAAACGCAAGGGTTCTCTGAAAATTCGAAAACCCTGAAGGGTTTCCAATAGATGTTTGGAAACCATGCTCAACTTTTCGGTAACGCTTCCACCGTTTTCGATGTTCGAAAACCCAAAAAGGTTTTCGAGCATCGAAAACCTTTTTGGGTTTTCG